TCTCTTCCTGTCAAATCACCGTCGCTAGGCTTTGAGCTACTTTAAGTTCACAGGAATCCCAGAAAAGCCTAAGAGTCAAAATGAAAACCACATCTTACCGAGGTCCAGTCTCTAGGGCTTCGAGGGGTTTAACGGTCTTTTGATTCACTTTTTACAGATTTTGATTTCAAACTGCAAGGCCTAAAACCAACACGATTCGGCCTACAAATGCTTTCGTAGCAGGCACCTGCTCAACGACAACACGTTGTCTCACACTACTTTATCCCCCCCTCAACTCAATCTAAAACATTGTGTGGAAGTCACTAAGCCCCCCATTCCACGAACAAAACAAGGACAGATAACAGAACAGATAGGGGACTGCACTGCAGCACGAAATATGAAAGACAGTGCTTCATTGATAGGACTGCACCTTAATAAAATTTGCATTGATGTAATCCGTGTCCTGAGTGGAGGTTTTTAATGTTACTTTTACTCTGCTGTGGTCAACTGTGGGGAGAAAAAAAAAAAGAAAACAATCATTAAACAGAAACAGATCACTCATGAAATAGAGAGCCCTTTATCTTTTTTTTTTGGCTACAGGAAGCAGTAAGACAGGTGGCATTATTGAAATTTTATTGCAGAGAAACAGTTTTCACATTAGTCCGAGTGCTGGCAAGACCCAAACTGCAATGGCCTGAAGTTTCTTTTGAAGCCGTTGCCTAGAGAACTAGCCTCAAAGGATGCTCAAGTCTGAGCCACAGTCATACCCTCAAACACAACGTACTTGCCCTGGGAGTGTAATGAAAAGCCAGGCGTTTCCAACAGCCTCTCTTGAAAGCCTGACCTGAAGAAGCTAAAGCATGTTCAACATCAAGGTTTCTTCGAAGTCAGGCAGTCTGCATGCTTCAGTAGTTCCCACCACGGGCCTTAAGAACATCTAAAACTCCTATTTGAAATCAGCAGGACTAAATCCGGGGAAGGGGTACTCACATGGCAGTATGTCTTTATATCTGTTCTTTTTGACATTTTCTTCTCTTTCTCCAACATTAGTGGGATAGATTTTTTCTGTTCTGTATTTGGTGGATAACCTCCGCAATTTCTGTGAAATTAAGAACAAAGAAATATTAAAACCAAACTGCACAATAAAGCGTTTTCCTTAAATTTAACCAGATGTAACACATGACAGACAATAATAACAGAACAGTCACTGCAGAGAAAACAGACCCTGGTGGAGCCCGTTCATCACGAGTGAACAAACCGCTCTTTAAGCACAGAGCTAAAGGTCACAATTTTTTCTTTTTTACTTAAATGAACAAGATCAAATTTTAGTGGGATTCACTTCCCATTTTCAGCTATGCTGGTAAAAAAACCCCACTAAACTTAGTCTTTTTTGTGTCTGTACACCACAAACCGGAAATGGATGCAACTCTCAATGGTTTTCACTAATGTCAATACAGGAATAGTAAAACATTTTAAAAAAAGCACAGTACACTGGTCGATCGTACTGAACTATGAATGTTAGAGCTCATCAGCTTCTTCCTCAAGACAATCTCACAATATTTCTACACTTTCCGCCCCACACCGTATCCTTTCTCAGAGCTGACTGATGTGGGCGTTGTGCTCTCCAAGCCCTGTGCTACATTTATTCTTCTCTTCCTTTTGAAAAAAATACCAAGCAGATGTAAAAGACAAAAATGTTCTGCTGTGGTGAAGTCCACACTGCAGTCAGGTAGAAATACATGTATCGTGTAGCTGGTGTTTGAAGACCTTTAAGTATTATAATTTAATTTTTATTAAAATCTTAAGGCATGGATTCCTGAACTTTTCTAGCAAAAGGATCCATAAAATAGCCCCCTCCTCACCAGCTATTTTGCAGGCGTGGGGGGACGGACTTCACTATTCTACAACACCCGCCAACACTAGATGTTGACACGCATAGCTTGTAAACACACCTCAGCAAGTAACACAGGTTCACACCTGCCTCTCCCCCATGCTGTGAGACTCCAGGAACATGGGCTCATTTTGGGCTCCAACACCTAGTTTAAAGAGCCGATTGGCTTAAGGAAAGCTAGTGTTTAAAGAAAAAGAATAGTAATGTCATTGTGCTTTAGAGCTTTTTGCTTTTCTAAAGTTTTTTTATATTTTTCACTAATAGGTTTCATTGAATCAATGAATTCTAAAAATCTCAAAACTCACAGACCATCATTCAGCACTGCTATGGATAAGCTTCAGCAGCTCTCATAAAACATCCAAAGATATAGCAAGAACCCTCATTTGTTCTGCCAGTAATTTAACAGCCTGAACAGTATATAATTCTGGCCAAGGGTCTGTGCTCAATGTATATATAGAAAATACAGAAAACCTTTAGCTGAACACTGAAAAACCATCGTACCCTTCTTTAAATAGGAATTCCTGGAACCAGTAGTTATGTCTTTACTTAGCATTTCATGACCAAATCAAACATCCTTGAATTATTAAATGGATTAAAAAAAGGATTTAAACAATGTTACATTTTTTTCCTGCAACAGTAAAAATAAATAGGCTGGCTAGTCCTTTATGCATAGACAGATGCACTTACAAAATTGTATTTCACTCAGGCACTGAGTACTGTACTCAGGCACGTACATTAACCCTGCAGAGCACTGAGAGGAGTTTAATCACAATGGTGAGTTCACACTCATCAATCCACAGCTTAACACTCACACTTTAAACAGGAAAAGGACTGTTACGTTGCAAAAAAAAAACCAACAAATGCACCTTTTCATTGCCTCTATGGTTCAAAGCCATTATCTGACGAACAATTAAAAAGCCAATTTGAGCGATTCCATGTTTTGTTACACTGACCTAGCCAATTTCACTCAGTGGGGAAACGAGAAGGGGGAATAACTCATACTATGCATAGTCCTACGCTGTTTGCACTATGGAGATCTACTATAGCCTTGTACACCGAGAAGGTGAAAACTCAAGCTAATAAAATACCCAAGGCCCACAGAAGGAGTTAATGCACATTTTATAGGTACCAGACAAGTCCGTAATGGGCTGCATTTCGGTCTTTAAACACAGCCCCAAAAGAATCAAGCACAATAGGGGTCCTTTGCAGAGTGCGGGCTCTGCCTTGAATAGAGCAGGGAACTGTATTAGCGTTTCAATGGAGCCGGGGCTGTCCTGGCCAGCACTGAGGAGCTGAAATCATGCCTCAATACGCACAGCGCGTCCCACAGACTCGCACTGCTGCTGTACACCTCCTGAGGAGCAAGCTTAATCCCCCAGGTTCCTGCTCCGAGCTTTTTGTCATCGTTTCATTCGCAGTATTTCTAAAGGACATCACCCTGCAGCTCTCTTGAAACGGATTAGAGAAAGAGAGAACTCAAAGGAGAGAATGTGTTAAAGATTCTAATGCGCGTTGAGATTCGAGTCTCCTGCTTCCATCTAGACTCTTTCATTTCTATAGCCACGGGGGAAAAAAACAGCCTAATGCACATACAGTATCACAGACTGGTGGTGGAAGTCTTCACCACATTCAATCTTATATACAGCGCTGCCCAGCTTACAAAAAATGACAAAATAACAGATGATTCAATTATTAGTAAGTTCTGTATGTTTTAGTGTTCTGTATGTTTCTCTGTTCACCAAAGTTCAAGCAAGTAGGCATTTTTTCCCTGACTCTTGCAGTTAAACAGGGTTTAACTTCCTTTGTTAAAAGATCAGATGCAAAAAAAACACATTGCAAGAGGAATGCAAAAAAGCCCAGCAGAAATGGCCTGTCTGGGGTTCCTGGTAGGGTTTCTTCCCTGAACTGGAAATGGTCTCAGCCTCCAGGCTTCTGAGAGGATGTTAATGTCTCAGCAGATGGATTCTTTTTGTCTGTACTTACTCATGGTCCACTAACACCATTTCTTTTTAGTGCTCCTCTTATAAAAAAAAAAGTTGGAAGAGCTCGTAAGAGGCATTTCAGAATGCACGAGAAACAGACAACTGAATCAGGCCACCAGTGTGCAAACCCGCTCCGACTCAACTCGGTCTCCCACTGTGGAGGGGAGGGTGTGTGACACAGGAAATGAATGTGTTTCAGAGACTGTCTGTGTGGTAAGGGCTGTATAGAGGTTTTAGGACAGAAGTTCCTGTCAATACTATCTATAATATTTTGTCCTTTGCAGAGAGTTTTGCGTAACTGTGGAAGGGCAGAAAGAAATCAAAGCTGTTCATCAGCAAATTGCAATACCACAGTATTCAGAGGCGCCATAACAAGAGAACGCCTGCAAGAGCCTGCTTACTGGGCTTCAAATTCACAATCTTTTCATGAACACTGGGGATCAAGAAAAACAAAACTAGCACTTCCTACTGATCAGTCGTGGTGGGTAACAGAGAAGAAATGCCATTAGCCCGTCAGGAATGCTAGACCTACAGCAGGAGGTTTCTTATTTCTCCAAGATGAAAGTGCTGAGAAAGCACTGCCCATCTGATTTTAGAAATACAGACAGCCAGCTACCATTTTTTGGAATATGGAGCTCTGCTGTACAGCTTGATACATTTCTCATTATTGGAGACCGTCAGTAGTTTAATGTCTTTAAAATGCAAAACAAAATGCAGCTACTCACAGACGTGAACCGAGACTATTCACACACTGCACCACGCTGTCGGGTTTTCAGCAAGAACAAAATATAACCTAGATGTACTTCCTTCTATAGGAAAGAAATCTCTAAATGAGTCTCTGTTTTGGACATTTTTTAAAACCGAAAAGTTGCATCAGCAAAAAGTGGAAAAAATTATTCCTGAGAGAAAGGATGAGCAAAAGTGTCTAAACACTGCCCTAAAACCATTTTAACTTAAAAGGAGATATTTTAACAAAGATTTTCAGCAGAATTCTTGAGAAAGTTATACATTTCTCCCATACTTTGTCTACTGTCAAACATTTTCAATGAAACTTATTTAATTTTAGATCAAATGTACAAAGAAAAAAACAAATTAAATATACACACAGGTGAAAGAAGTTGCATTTTTAAAGGGACTGGATGTAAATCCATCAAAATATGGTATTAGAATCTCTGCACTCAGCTTCCTTCAGCTACTTAATCCTGTTTTTCATACACACAATTTGTTCAGGTGGATTATTTTGTGTTTTTCTGGGTCACTTGGTCACATTCTGCATTTGTTTTCAACCAGCTGTTTGCTATGCTAAACACTCCATTGCTATGGTAATCACCACACCAGTGCACTATCTCACTTAATTCTTTACATACTGTAACAAAATTTAAAAAAAATATAATCAAACAGCAACCAACCAGAGTGGTTAAGTAATTTCTAACAGGAAATAATTTATTACAGTACTTGTAAAGCAGATTTGCTCCCTGCTCAATTGGAAGAAAACAATTTCTGAATTTCTGAAACAATACAATACTCTACAACTTCTTTGACAACAAAACTCTTATCAACAGAGGGAAATTAAGTTTGCGGATATCCAATCCTTGAAACAATTTACTGTACCACTAGTACGACAGCTCTATCGCGCAGAGAACGGCATGTTCTCAAGGATCTCTGAAGCTTCACACTACCCTCCAACTCGCACAGCAAAAGTGTGTTTGGACAAACTGCGAGTAGTAAGAAGAAAACTGCTGAAAACCGAATTTAAGATCAATTCATATACACCATATACTGTACATCAATATATATGCACATATACACACACACATGCACACGCATTATAAAGATAACCAATAACACCAAGCAACCTCTTTGGGACTTGGCACCAGCCGAGCCAAGTCTAGTTTAAGGACAAACCAAGATTTTGCTCAGAGCACCCTCATGGACATTGGCGAGTGTCACTCAGACAAGCAGAATGATAGGCTCATGGTTGAGTACAACAGACAAACCTGTGGGCTGGTCCAAGTGTGAGGATCTGGGCAGGAGTTTCAAGTCAGTACAGAGCTGCGCTCACAGGGATCAATGGCAACCTGTCCAGCGCCCCACACACAAAACGCTCAAGACCGTGCAAACAACTCAGGAAGTCGCATCTTCCCTTAACCAAAGATGAGAGCAGTGCAGGGGGACTACAGGCCTGACATAGAGAGAAAGATAGGAAAAGGAGGAAGGAAAAAAGGA